TATATATATATATATATATATATATATAGGAAAAGCTAATATAGAGTCGAGGCTCTAAACAATCAAATTTAAGCCTACCTCAAAAATTTCACTAAAAGAGGTTGTTTTGATGCCCAAATATCTTCAAATTGATCGTCTTGACATGAAGATCCATGGACATAAGAAAAAAAGGATTGCAAGTTTTGAAAAGAGTGTATTTTGTAACGTATTTTTGGACCGTCAATTTTCAAGATTAAAGTTTTCATAGATATGTCGATCTACGCTATTTTTGAAGCTTTAAACATTATAAATAAATATGAAAATATACTTTAAAGCTGTCACAAGGATTTCCAATGTTGAAACTACTTTTCTCGATACTATTTGAAGGTAGGCTCTAATGTGATCGTTTAGAGCCTAGGCTCTATACAAACCGCATCATATATATATATATATATATTATCGCAATCAAGTAGGTGATAACTTCACCAAGCCTTTGTCACGATATGTTTTTTGAGATCTTGCTTCAAACTCGAGCTTCAACTGCCTCGTCAACCAAGTTTTGGGAAGGGGGTGAGGGGAATTCAAACAAGATAAGAAAGTGTATTACTCTTTCCTTTTAAGAGGAGAACGTAACAAGATAGGAGAGTGTATATTGCATTTAACAATAGGAAAATGTATATTATATCATTATATATACAATGAAAGATCCAGTAAAAGAACTATTTTTTGAGTTCTTCTCTCTCTAAAATTTCTTTAAATGTTGTTCATCTTTTTTATATTGTTGGAGATCTAATGAAGGAAAAGTTATCAAAGGTAAAGTTTATATATTAAAGTATATGATACTATATGTATAATATATAAATATTATATATATGTATATATCATATATTATATTATATATTATACAAATACATTAATAAAAGGATAAAGTTTATATAAAACGAGGCCCTAAACAATTAACTTAAGGTGCACCTCAAAAATCTAATAGATTACATTATTTTGATGCTCAAAAATCCTCAAATCGATCAGCTCGACCTCAAGATATATGGATATGAGAGAAAATAGATTCCAAATCTTGCAAACAATCCATCTTGTAATGTATTTTTGGATTGTCATTTTTCAAGTGTTGCACGATATACACTATTTTTTAAGCTTTAAACCTTATAATTAGATATGAAAATAAAGTTTCAAGCCATCACAAAGATTTTTGGTGCCGAAAAAGATATTCCGACACTATTTAAAGGTGCATTGTACTTTGATTGTTTGGGGCCTCAACCCTATAGAAACTAATGTTTTCATATTCGTTTCGGAGCCTCCTTCGGTTTGGTGAGAAAATGAAGCAATTTGGAGGAAGACTTCATGCTTTTTTAAAAAAATTTAATATAAATAAATTACATATTTATATACAAAATATGTAAAAATAATGGAAAAATAAAGTAAATATACAAAAAAATCTTTTATATAGGTTTTTCTTTTTTGATCAAAACAGCCAAAGCTGACCGAAGCAACAACACTACGCTTCTATTCGCTGCGGTTTATGCTTAAAATCCGAAGACTTCGGCTTCTTCGAGCGAAGCAAAGTGAATTTGATAACATTCATACAAACCACACTCTTAATTAAATGAGTATAAAACATATTATATTATATATTGTATATTGTATATTATATATTGCATATTATATATAATATATAATATACAATATATAATATAATA